CCGCCCCAACCCCCTTTACTATGAGGATATCCAACTTACCTGGGAAGACCGTGTAAATAGTAGATAAACGAGTAAATACCCAAAATGGCCCCTTGACTATAGCTAAATTCACAAATTGGTCCTCAACTTTCAATTTCAACCAATTAAGTCCTTAACTTTGTAATTTTAACACAATTTGGTCCTCTGTCTATTTGACCGTTTATTTACTGTGATTTTTGAGGATATATATGTAATTTCATGATCCATCATCGGTTTTTTAAGGTTTCGGTTGCATTTCCAGACCGCACTGTTACATTCGAATCAACTGCCGAAAGCAATCTACCAAATCCGGTCGCCTTTCTTCATCCTCTCTTTGGATTCAATGTAGTTAAGTTCGTACCAGAGCGAAGAAGACGACGTGTTTCCGAACCGGTGCAACGTCATCCTGGAGGCCTCCACGTCCTCCGACGAGAGCTGAAGGTTCTTCTGGAGATCGTCGATCACAGTCAACAAACGATCAAATAGATAAAAGACCAAATCGTGTCAAAATTGCAAAATTAAGAACTTAATGGGTCAATTTGTAAATTTAGCTATAGTCGAGAGACCATTTTGGATATTTACTCCAGATAAACCTATTTAACTTCTGCCTTCTTTTTCTGCTTTTTTTTTTTTTTTGGAAGTTGAGAAATTGTATTCTGCAATAATAATGCTCAGAAATCACTCTTTATTAATTATTAAAGCTAACCAAATGCCAAATTATCAATTTACCCTAGATAGCTAGGCAGCTAGCAACTAAACTAGCCCTATCTAAAACTGCCACTAAACGAAAACTATGAGAACTACAATTTTCTAGCAAACAGCTTCCACCACCAACTTCTTGCTCTTCTTCCCATCACAATTTGTCTTGCCGAAGACACCCTCAGTGGCAGTCAGCGAGCAGGATTCCTTCCCCTCGCATGCAGTTTTCAGAATGGTTAGAGCGTCCTTAGCGCCACCACAACTGCCCTTCGCCAATGATCCACACACCCCTTGTGTCTCGCCAAAATGGGCATATTTAATGGCAGAAATGGGGCGGCCATGGCATGATATCTCCATCACCTTCTTCTCATAAGCATTTGCACAAACACTACCCACCCTCACTGTTTGGAAGCTCACTTTAGTGAGGTTGCCTCCGATCTCCTCAAAAAGGATGAGTTCATTGTCGCCCTTGTTAAGGAAGGATCGCGGGATGTGGTACCATCTCTGTGTTGGTTTGCCACAATTTGAGACGCATTTGTTGTTGGTGTATGATCCTCTGTAATCACAAGGGTCCGAGGAGCAACCTTCCTCGGCTATAAAGCTCGGCCAGTAACGGCCTAAGTTGTTGCCATTCACCCACGCAAACCCCTTGCCTAAACCAACCAAGTCCACCACAACTGGATCTTTTCCCTTTGGAGCCTTGAAAGTGGTCTAAACACCCAAAACAGATAGTTAAAATCTATGCAGATTTAAGACCAGATCAATGTATATATATATTACCTTGTACCAAGTCATCCTAGAATTGACAGGGAGCTTATCAGATTGCCACTGAGAAGCAAAGCGAGATTGATTGCTGAACAGTTTGTGGGCTTCGCCATGGAGTCCAATCTTGTACGACCATTTGTGGGAAGATACGTCTTTAGAGATGGTCTCATCGCCTTTTCTTCCGACGATCTCAACTGGGCCACCGGACAATCCAGTTCCAGCCATGTCGAAGAATGAACCATAGTTTTGAAGACCAACAGCAGCACTCAAAATCGAGATTTGATTCTTTCCATGTCTGAATTTCACTTTGGTCTCGAAGACAGACTTGGGAATCCCATAAGTGGTCCAATTGGAGCCAATGAAGTCCCCATTCACATAAAGGTGCAATGGATGGCCAGTGTTGTTAATCCTGATGCTCATATTATTGCTCCAGATGGGATCATCCTTGTCTAGGTTCACACTGCCATGTTTCAACAAAGTTTCAGCAAAAATTTATAGTTTTCAGAACCAAGAAATGGGGATTAATATTATACCTTGTCATGTACCACAGGTAATCACTGACATCATTAGTGATCTTCTGGTCAAAAATTTGATTTGCAGCGAAATCTCCCTTGCCAAGGACGACAGTGTCATCAATCTTCTCAGGCCTCCATGACCATTTCAGTGAAGAAGTCTTCTGCTCAGCCGTGTTCGAGTCATCTTTCACCATGACATTAGTCTGGGTATTGACTTTAGCAGTGTTAAAAGCTTCTTTCTTGCAATCAGGCAGAATGCTTACAGACCAAGCAGGAACATCATAGTCAACTCCTTTGTAGTTGATGGTGCCATTAGATGTCTCATTTGCATTGCTAAAGAAGCAAGTTGATGTGCCATTCAAAGCATAAACTGTGATCTGAAAATGGGAAGAAAATTTTACATAAAAGGAGGAGGTTGAATCATTCAAGATCAATAGAAAAAGTGTATTATTGAGCCATATTACCTGAAGAGAATTGTCCAATTCAGTGGTGGTAATGTTTCCAGTGGTGAGAGTCTTCTCAATGGAGTGCAACACATCATGAAGTTGCTTCAAATGACCATACTTTGGTTGCTTCACATTGCCATATTCATCGATTGGAGCATCATAGTCATAGGTCGTGGTGATATACGGACCACCAGCAGTGCGACCAAAATTTGTTCCACCATGATACTAGAAATGTATAATCAAAGTCATAAGCAAAAACCTTAACTAAAGAAACTAAGTATGAGGAGAACACAAACCATGTAGTAGTTCTGGAAAGTTCCTCCTGTCTGGAAAAACCTTGCCACTGCAAATGCAACATCCTCTGCAGTTCTGTATGGGTCTTTGCCTCCCCAGTTCTTGAACCTTCAATCCAGATTTAGTTGAATCATTATATTCCCACTATTTTCAAATTAAAGTTATTCATATTTTCAATTCACTTAATTACCATCCAGTCCAATTCTCAGTCCACATCTTTGGGGTAGTAGGGTTCCTGGGCTTATATTGGTGACAATACCAACCATTGCAGGTTTCAAGCTGTCACCATTTAATTTGCAGATTCAATCATTCAATCAATCAATATGATAATCAATAAATGAATGTTAAAAACTAAAATCTGTATATATAATATATACCATTGGTTCAGGGGCATCCTTTTGCTGGCACATGATCCATGGAACTCCAATGTGAAGAGAGTCAGCAAAGTTTGCACACCAATCAAGATATGCTTTTCCAGCAGCTCCATAAGGTTCATACACATTGCCATACTCATTCTCAATCTGTGCCAGAATGATAGGCCCTCCTTGTGAAGCAAATAGCTTCTCCTTTTTCACCTTGTCAACAATCAATGTTGTGAAGTTTTTCATCGCGTTCTGAAAAATTAACACCAAATAATCAGTCATCAATTCTATCGGTATCGATATCAACATTTCCAGCATAACTAGACATTCATATACGATTGTGTCAGGTAGTATCGACACTCTAATTGTAGAGAGAGAGAGAGAGAGAAAGATTACTGTAATTTACCATATACACTTCATTGGCGGTACGGAGCTCATTAACGCCGGGAAAATTGTGCAACCATACCGGAAATCCTCTGTTCGTCAATAGAAGAAAGAGAAAATCAGGAAATGATTTGAGATCGATGAAAACAGTGGATTTTGTTATGTAATGTAAGTATTTAACAGCAAATGATTACCCGTAATTCCACTCGGCACAAACATATGGACCAATGCGGAGAACAGCGTACATTCCGGCATCGCCGACTGTTTTGATAAACCTAATGAGATCGTGGTTGCCGGAAAAATCATACTGACCGCGAACCGGTTCGTGAGCGTTCCAGAAAACGTACGTCTCAATCGCATCCAGACCGCCTGCCTTGGCTTTCTTCATCAAATCCGGCCACATCTGCAAGGTGAAACGCAGTAAGTATTCGCCTTACTCAAAGTTTGTTATAACAGAAAATGTACTATTGTGCTGCTAAACAGGGCATGCATGCTCGAATAACAATCTATAGATACCTCGGCGGTGCTTCGGGGATAATGAATAGCGCCGGAGAGGAGAACTCTGGGAACGCCATTGATGGTTATGGCTCTTCCATCGTGATTAACCTCAACTGAAGACGTTAAGCTGAAAGCGGTAAAAAACAACAGGGAGATAAATGCAGCTAGGGTAGAATACGCCATGACTGTGAAAAATTGATTGATACTGAAAAAGATGAGTGAATGAAATACTTAGTGTCAGTCTCAGGTATATATAGGAGGTATAGATCAGTAAAAAACTCTGAAGTTTCTAATTCAGTGATTAACGGATTGGTTGTTAAGATACTATAAATATTCGTGGATAATAATATTTTATGTCATAAACATCAATCCATCCCTCCATCCCTAGTAATAATAGAAAAAAAAAAAAAGGAATGAAATTTACAATAAATAAAATGCATAATATATAAAGAAATGAGTAAATGTCCACATGTTTAATTCTTATCTTTTACAATTGTTGTTTTAGTATTAATTTTTCATCCACGATTATTATTTTAGTATCAAAATTCATAACGTCAATCACCCTTTCATTTAAGACATGCTGAAATCTAAAAATTGTTAAGATCATTTTCATCACTTTTCAACTTAAATTTCAATTTAAGCATGAATAAAGTGATTTAAGTTCTATAATCGATCCAATTCGGAAAAGAACGGTTAATTGGGATAGATCTTAAGACTTAAATATCTTTATTCATGTTCAAATTGGGATCTTAATTTTAAAATGATAAAAATATCCTTAATAATTTTATATTTCGACATGTCTTTAAACAAAAGGAGTTACCGACGTGATGAATTTTGACACTAAACAATAGTGAAAATTGATACTAAAATAATACTCGTTGATGAAAATTAATAAGAATTAATTGTATGGATCAAAAGTTTCATTTTACTAATACTCGTGAAACTAAAATTGATATGTGGTTATAAAGAAATCTAAGGTCGTCCTAATCCTAATCCTATCCTAATTAATTCTAAATAGTCCTTGTATAGTTTCGCGGCATTTTTTTGTAGCGTCAAATACGGCAATGGCGTTTTGAGTTTTGACTAGTGCATTAATTCTGCTCTCTGATCGAACCAAACCGTCACCCATTTCCGTGACCACTTCATCTTCTCGCCAATCCTAGGGTTTACCGTCTCAGGTTCCAAATGATACTTACACTGGTAAATACTTTGATTCATGCATATATACTCTGTCTGTATATTCAAATATGTGTATATTTTTGCTCAGTTGAATTAATTCCTTCTCGATGGTATTTTTACTCACTTGGAGGTAAACTATAGATTTTGTAAGCGATCTCTATGATTGTTGTGTTTTCCTTTTAATGGACTGTAGATAAATGATTGGTCCCACTTTATTTATTTATTTTGTGATTGAGCTGTGTTAATGAATGGAAATGTGCAGATAATGGGTGTTGATTGAGCTTTGAAGTTCCTTGGAATACGAAATACTTGGGTTTAGGTTATAGAATATACTCTGTAAGCAAACTTTCTGTTTATGGATGAGTTTAAGTTTTGGTTTTCTGCAGAAAATCAGGAGAGAATTGATAAGTTGAATTGAACCAACTTGGGGAATATTGTTTCGGGATGAACGTCGTCAAAGTGATTAAGTTCTGGAAAGCACGCAAATCAAATCAAAGGAAGGGTGTAAGGGAAGAGCTTAAGAATGAGAGTAGTCGAGAATTGGTTAAATCAGCCTGGGCAGGTTTTGACAGTACCGAAGTGGATGATGACAATGAATTTATCAACAATGAATTGAAGGGCAGACTGAAGGAACATAGAGGAAACAACTCCATGATGCCGATTCCCAAGGAGATGTCTCCAGAGGACGGGGTTGAAAAAATTGGCGATTATGAAGTACAAGAAGAGGGGGAGGAAAACATTAATGAATGGGGGGATTTAGAAGCTGGGAAGCTATTCTGTGCTGGATTTGATGCTGTATACGACAAATACTGTGAGCGGATGCTGTTCTTTGATCATCTACAAGTCCAACAGCTGCACGAATTGGGTATGGTTTTCTTGCTTTAATTTCACCTTGGTTCATGAGAATATACTCATGATGAGGTGTTCTTTTATTGATTTTGAAATGTTTGTGAAACATTAGAATTTACTTTAATATGCTGCTAAGAGTTTGATAGTTTGGTTGCTTATTATCATCTGCCTGAAAGAAAATAAAACTAAAAATCATTGAATTATTTTGTCAAAACATAGTGTGGAAAGTTGCATAATCTGATTCCTAGAAGACACTTAGGATTTGAAAAAAATTGTTTCTGAATTATCCAGCCATGCTGGATTGAATGAAAAATTATGATAACCGGATAAGGCAATTTATGATTTATCATGGTTTATTTATGTTCTTATTTACTTTGTCATCTTTTAGGCATGGAGTGCACGGATACATGATAAGTGACAGTCAGTGTCATCTTTGATTCATTTTGTTCTTCTCTTTAGCCTTTACAGTAAAATGTTGAATCATTGATTCATCATGTTAATCTCTTTAGCCTTTATAGTAAAATGTTGCAGGTTCTTACTTTCCTTCAACTCCATCTCCATCTCCATCTCGGAAATCTACATATAAAAAGCTTGTGTCTACCTTTCAACATCTTTCTTTGAAGAAAATGGATAATGAACCTAAAGATGAAACTGAACACTTGCACCGCCCAGGATCCAATCCTTATCAGGATCTTGAAACAGCTTATGTAGCTCACGTTTGCTTGACATGGGAGATAATTCACTGCCAGTATACACAATTGATCCAGAAAATATCTTCCCAACCTGAAAGTTCCACCACCTACAACCACTGCTCCCAGCAGTTTCAGCAGTTCCAGGTTCTGTTACAAAGATTTATTGAAAATGAGCCATACGAGCAAGGTTTGAGGCCAGAAATTTATGCTCGTATGAGGAGTTCCTTGCCCATACTTCAGGTCCCCAAAATACAAGGTATATAAGCTCATGGGCAACAGCTTTCTTGCATTAAAAGCATATTGACTTATGTCCATTGCAAATGCATATCAGTTTATACAGAAATCCTGCAAAGAATCTTCTGTGTTGACAAAATCTGGTCTATGAATTCTAGGTTCCATTAAGAGAAAGATGGAAGAGGAGTTGGTGGTTCTAGCCCCCGATCTAATTAAAATAATTGAAAGCTCAATCTCGACCTTTCATCTATTTCTGAATGTGGAAAAGAAAAAATCAGGCGGTGCCAGTAATCTTGTAGGAGTTGAGAACAGGACATCCACACCACTGGAACATATTCAATCTTCTCTTGGGGAAGTAAGTGTTACACTACAACAGAACTGAAGAAATGTATTTATAAGATTTTGACACTGGAGTTAGCTTATAATTGATTTGATATGTCCACTGTTTTCATTAAAGTGATATTCACTTTACAATGCAGAAAGCGATTAAACTGAAGTATCAATGGAAGAAAAAAAAGAACTGGAAAAGGAAGTCCCGGAGTTGCACACCAGCAGATGCAGACTTATTGCTCGGGCTAATGGATGTCGAAATCATGGAAAGGCTTTTAAGAATGGATAAAATTACCAAGGAACAGTTATTCTGGTGTGAAGAGAAGATGAAAAAACTAGATCTATCGAGGGGCAAGTTGCAGAGGGATCCCTCACCCCTCTTGTTTCCTTGTTAGCTCCTCCTAACAAATGTGGATTAGGTATACAGTTCTTTTACCTCTTATGGGTTACTTTTCAAAGTTAAAATTATATTCTTATGAAAAATACTATGTGTACTCCCAACTTTTACTCCCACACACAAAATCTTAGTGTAAACACTTGTATTGGGATCCACATGAAAAAATAACTTATCAGAGCGGAACTCTATTCTTATATATCAAAGAATCCTGAATGAAATGGTAATATGTGTCTTTTGACTTATTTTTTTTTTTTTTTTTGAAAAAATCAGGAATCTGCATTTAATCATTTGAATTTTTGTCTGAAGTGTGATTGAGGAATCTTGCTTGGAACCTGGGTTGGTAGTACTATAAATGAGATTTCTGCTCAATTTTAGGTCTTGAATCGTGTGGTTGGCATGCCATTTATGAGGGCTATTACTCTAGTCTCTAGCCAGCCCCTGACCACATCAAACTTATTAGTCTCTTTCATCCGTACTTGAACACGATAAGACTGACATGGCTGAAAAGGGTGTGTTCTGACCAAATAGTCTTACATAGTTGTTACTTCTAGTGCTAACTTTTGGAAAATTTTATCATGTATTTTAGGTATGAGAATATTTATAGGATAACTTGAAGGAAAGTGATATGTCATGTGACATTAGTCTCAAAATACTTTAACTCAGAGGGGGGTTTACATAATCCAGTGAAAAAATTGATTAATCAACCAAATTGATAAATTTTGATTAAATGTTTTAAATATTTTGATTAACGGTTAATGATTAACTAATCTGTTAACTAAATTGTTGATATATATAATTTTTTTTATAACTCATAAATTATAATATTAGACTATTTATTATTTTTTTTATCATTTATATATTTTAATTTTAATATAATGACCATGGTTGCAAAAATCGCGCCTAGGCGTTAGGCGCCCGAACGCCGCCGGAAGAAGGCCGGAATCGGCCTCCTCCGCGGCCGGCTAGGCGCCTAGCCGGCTGAACAGGCGTAGAATTTTTTTTTTTTTTTTTTTTTTTTTTTTGCGTTGTAAAGTGAGAAAAGTTCGGGAAGACATAACTTTTGACTCGGTTGTCCGTTTTGGTCCACTAATTTTTTTTTTAAAAATGCTTCTTTTGCTCTTAATTTTAGTTTTTTTTTTTTTTTTTTTATGTATTTAGATGGTTTAAACAATCTTTTGAACATTTTTACAACCACTTACGTAAATAGTTTGTAAAAATAAATATGGAAACCTTATGTGTTATTACTAAATTTTGAAAATTTTTAATTTGTAATTTTATTTTTAATTAAATAAAATAAAATAAAAAATCAGGGGCACTAGGCCCCTAACGTTTTTTGCAACATTGATAATGACTATTTTGTGGTGTGAAATTATGAACTAAAAATTTTTATTTTTAAATTTTAAAGATTTTAAAAGCTTTCTAAAATATTATAGTTAATTGATTAGTTAAATTTTTTTTGATTTGTTTAATTCAAAAATATGAAGTACGGTTAATGGTTAAGACATTTGTAAATTTATTATTCAAATTAACCGAATAAATACTCCTACTGAAAGGAGCTGTTTAGTCAAGATTTTTATTTTTTATTTTACTTTACCCTTTTTGTTTTATTCATTAAAACAAAAACAGAAATAAAAAGCAAAAACATTGTGCCAAATAATGTTTTTATTCAGTTATGCTAAAATCGTAGCATAAAATTAATATAGTTCAGGTAAGTTTAGTTTTGTTTTAACAACTGTTTATTTTTTAGTACATTAATAACATCACAATTTTTTTATGTAGTGAAATAATTTGGAAATGTAAGAAAATAGGAATATTTATATTAAATTGAGATTTTTTTTGAGAGAATCTCCAACCCTAAAGGTCCCATCCCGATGATTTAATAGCTCAGTAGATAAAGTCAAATGTCGGGAGATTTGCTTACTTTGAACATAATTTCTATACTCCTATTGTTGAGATTTGAATATTGATCTCATCTCTCAAATAATGCCCGAACCAGTGAGATTCCATTATGATGGGTAGCGCAGCAGGACATGTATTTATTTCTAGTGATTTTCTCTGATGACGACATAATATCTTAATTTAAGACAGCCAGCAGACATAACCGTTTGAGGGGTTTGATTAACATCACTTTTGGCGTATTAATGCAAGTAATATAAGATTGTAAGGTCTGCGGTTAGGTAAATTGTTTCACCAAACATATCTCTCTCCACTAGACCACTTTATTAGAGTGTATATAAAAGTTGACCATCCAAATTGTTACTATGTTACCAACATTTACATGAAATTTTATATTGTTACTTTATATTTATTGATCATATGTTATGTTCATCCCTTTATATAGAAGAGTTCTCATGAATTTATACTTTCATTTAGAAGATATTTTCAAGGAGAATTTTATTTTAATGTAAATTGTACGAGAAATTAATTATCAATATAATTAACGACAATAATTATGAACGAAACAAAATACCTTAATTAGCTCAAGGTGTCAACATGAATCTAAGATTGTCTACATTCCTGCAAATTTGATGCCTTGCAAGATGAATTGACATTTTTTTCATTTTTTTTTTAAATTAAAGCATGTTTACATGCATTGCAAGCTTTTACAAGGCGTTTGGTTGAATGTAATTTGATTGTAATTGAATTGTAATTCAATGAAGGCATCAATTACAGTGTTTGATTCCTTTTGTTACATAACTCGAGACTGGTATCCGCTTTTTGAGTTTTTTGTTTTTTAAAATTTATTTGTTATTTTATTATTATATTATAATGCCATATATGTGAAAGTGGGATTATTTTGAAATGTTAAAACTGTCTTGAGACAACTCACTACCAACTTACCAAGTAACATTTGACCACCATCATTATGTAATACTAGACCAAACTCGCATCCCACACTATTTTAATATTTTTAAACGTTTAAGATTAATAGTCAATAATTCAATTTCAACAAATGAACAACATGAGCCAACGTGACACATTAACGGGGTGTTTGGTTTGAAGGAATTAGGAAGAAAATGAATTGTAATTCGGTGAGAAAAAAATAAGTTAGGAATAATGTAGGAATTGAAATTACATTGTTTGGTAGTGAAGAATAGAACTATTGGGGATGAGAAGGAAAAAGTGGTATAAAGACTAAAATGTCATTGTGTAATAATAATAATAATAATAACAATCAACAAGGGTATTTTTGTCATTTCTTACACTTTCTCCTTACCAAAAAGCATTGAATTGCAATTCATGGGGTTACCCCATGAATTGCAATTCAACAAAAGGAGGAAATTGCAATTCCATGGAATTGCAATTGAGCAATTCCCTCCAACCAAACACTGTAATTGAAGCCTTCATTAAATTACAACTAAATTACATCCAACCAAACACCCCCTAAATCCAACTTCTATGTGTCATGGCCATCTCAAAATTAAACAAACTTCACAACCTACTACTTGTCTATTATTCTTCGAATAGGCATTCTTATTAAGTTTAATCCAATATATATTCAATTTATCTTATTTCAACAATCTAATCTCAAACTCCACCATATCTTTGAAAGAAGCACGTTCTTAAAAATATTCACAACCTTCCTAACTTGAGTCTTAAGCCATGCAACTTTCACTGTAGCCTGCTTTGTAACATGACAGTAAAAAAATTCATTTTTCCATTACCACAACCGCCAAATAGCTATAGCAAACAGTAATTTGTGAAATTAACCAAGTATTTTAATTTTAATTTTTTAATATGTATATATAATATATAATTATACATTTATTAAGCAAGCAAACAAAAAAAAAAAAGAAAGAGAAAAAAGAATAAGGTTCAAATAGGTCACTCAATTGCACATCAAATTACATACAATCGGGTCATCAAACTAAAAAAAAAAAAAAAATACAATTAGATCCTTAAACACCGCAAACTCATGTAATTCAATCCAAAATGATCTGTCAAAACATACTGATATGGCGGTTACCGAATTTAAAAATAAAATTTTAAATAATTTTATATAAAATAATTATTTAAAATTTATTTAAAAAAAAAAAAAAAAAAGAGTAAATACCCAAAATAGTCCCTCGACTATAGCTAAATTCACAAATTGGTCCTTCACTTTCAATTTTAATCAATTAAGTCCTTAACTTTGCAATTTTAACACGACTTGGTCCTCTGTCTATTTGACTGTTTGTTGATTGTGATTTTTGAGGATATATATGTAATTTCATGGTCCATCGTCGATTTTTTAAGGTTTCGGTTGCATTTTCAGACCGCACTATTACATTTGGATCCACCACCGAAAGCAATCTGCCAAATCCTGTTGCCTTCCTTCTTCCTCTCTTTGGATTCAATGTAGTTGAGTTCGTACCAGAGTGAAGAAGACAACGTGTTTCCGAACCGGTGCAGCGTCATCCTGGAGGCTTCCATGTGCTCCGATGAGAGCTGCAGGTTCTTCTAGAGATTGTCGATGACGGCGCGGGCGCGGACATTAATGCAGAAGTGTTCGAAGGACCAAATCGTGTTAAAATTACAAAGTTAAGGACTTAATTGGTTAAAATTAAAAGTCGAGAACCAATTTGTGAATTTAGCTATAGTTGATGGACCATTTTGAGTATTTACTCAATAAAAAACAACAAAAACAAAAACTAAAAACAAGCCCCTTCGTCTCCAACCGGAGACTATGGGCGGGTTCGTTTCCCAGGCAGGGCCGTCCCTGGCCATGTCTGACCAGGGCCAGCGTACAAGGCCCCCAAATTTTGGGGGCCCCAAATATTACATACGTAGTATATATGTGCATTGTGCCCCCAAATTTTGGGGGCACTTTTATTAAAAAAAAATATATTATTTTATATTTATATTTTATATACTAGTGTAGGTGTAATTTATTTATAAAGAAATCAAGACGGTCTAAAATTCTAAAAAGTTTATATTCCTAATTCTTAAGGATTTGATTTACGTATAGAGTTATAGTCATATAACTTATAGAAATTGAGGCGGGCCTATTTGATTATTGTAAAAATTATTATATACAAAGAGTAAAAAATTACTCTTATTCCTATTATAATGCATACACGCAAGATTTGTATTCACAAAGCAAGAATTCGGTCTCAGTAATCATTAATTTGAAGTGCGTTGTTTCTGCATATGGCATCTTTCATTTTTTTATTCTTCACGATAAAAGGATGAAGGTATGTAAATAATTAAATATTTTAATTCTTTAATTTATTCAAAATTTTAAAATTATTAATTCAATAACTAACCCTAGTTAGGAATTTTTTTGATTGGTGAATAACAATCTAATTTCTTGTATTTTGATAGTACAATTGCAATATCAATTAGTCTTGACTATTTTCATTACTGTTGTTTATGCATAAAGAAGTTTTTTAAAGTTAAAGTTGTTGAAATCTTACTTATGATCAACTATATTGTAAAAAAGACTCAATGGATTGGTGAACGGTTTTACATCTAAATATGGCCGAAGAAGAAGAAGAATGTCACTTTTCAAATGAAATTTTGAATAATAAATTTTTTTAACTATTATATATTTTGATACAATACAATATATCTTTTATATATTTACAATTATACAAAAAGGGAACCAATGTTAATTTTCGTACAGGACCCCAATTTTCTTACGAACGGCCCTGCTCCCAGGCCATGGAAAGGTACTCTACCCAATAAGCAATTGGTGGCAAGAGATTAGTACTTCCATGTCACCCTGGGCACTAAGAATTGAAATTTATCAATTAAGATTCAATTTTCACTATCAAACATATTCCAAAAAGAGAAAAAGAAAAAGAAAGTTAAACTACCTCATAAGGCATTAAATTTAAACTTTATGTTTATGGTGTTGGAGCCACTTTAGTAAAAATTTATGCAATTTTTAGTTCTGTCTTTTTCTCTAAATTCCAAATGTATAAAAAAGAATTAGTTACAGTACAATAACATACATTCTTTTTCCCTATAAACATGCAACGGTATTAGCTTTCTTTATTAATGACCATTACTAATTACCAATAATGGAATTACTAATAAATTTCCTTACTAATATTAATGCTTTTCACCCTAGTAAAATTTCTCTCATAAATTCCATCTTAAGTGACTGACCACACAAATTTGTAAAGACATATTAAAATACTAGTATTTTATATGAGCGATGCGCAAAAAATATATGCCCAATATTAAAATTAAATATTAAAATTTTAGTTATATTAATTTTTTTAAAACATAATAGTGTGTGTGTGTGTGTATATATATATATATATATATATATATATATATATATATATATATAAATATATATATATAATTGTATAATTCATATTAATATTTTTGAGGTAAAAATTATAGAATGATAAATTACTATATATAACTATGGTAATATTTTAATTAAAACCTTTTTTTTCTGAAGGAATTTTAATTAAAACCTAAATGAATTAAAACTTACCATTATTGAAGGATGTAAGAAAAAATTATTGTGTATGCATGTACATAGTAATAATAGTGTAGAAAGATAACAGCAGTTATAACAGCAGGGATATTTTTGTCCAAAAAATTATGTAGTACAACTTTTATAGCATAAGGTACAAAAAAATTTAACAGAAAAAAGGGACAAAAATCAGGGGTATAACCTGAATTGGAACTTATTATGTTTTTAGATATCCCATCAAATAATACTATGTTGGATGATATTTTGTTCACATTATCGTGTAATCTTAAAAATTTGAATATCATAAGTGATTATTGCAAAGAATGTGAGATTTTGTAAATTTTGTTTTTTAATTATTTTAGTGACTTTTATGGTAGTCATATTCCATTAGGTCTTTAAAATATTATGTTATCTCAAAATATTTCTTAAATAAAAAATAATTAAAATAAAATTTAAAATTTTTACATATCAATAATATCAACTGTTCCATCTTTAACTTATAGAGCAATTTTAAATCTCGTGTCATCTAATAAAAATGTTCACAGAAATTAATTACTGTATTCGATGATAGAAATCTGGACACACCAAAAAAAGTTTCCCTTGAATCATCAAGGTTATCTAAAATGATCATATTCACATTTCTTAGATCATGTTATCATGAACCAAATATTCCATAAATATTATTCAATTTTTTGAATAAAGAAAGCATAAACTTGGAAACCCTGTCTACACCGTGGTGGTTTTTGCAAGCGACATTTGTTATTTCTACTCTCTTTCTCTCTCTTCAAGCAGACAAGAAAACTCTCTCTCTCTCTCTCTCTCTCTCTGCATTCTTTCATGCTCTTTCTCTGCCCTGCTCTGCAGAAATTTCGATGGATTGACCTGATCATTACTTCATGATTACTTCACCATCATCATTGTCAGCGTCGGGAGCTTCTGCCTGAGCACCAGCCTCTGAGGTGAGACATTCTCCAATCGATCATTTCTTCAACTGCTCTGTTTTCTTCCCTGTTGCAAAAGGGTGATACTGAGGCCACCCTTTAGTCTTAGGGTTCGTTTCTCTGTTCTATTGGTTTTATCTTTCTGTTAAAGGTGCTTGCTTTTTTAACTCTCAGTCAATAATATGAATCAATGGATTCTTGGTTTGAACTCACTGTTTATTTCAGTGGATTGCTTTCAAGTTTCAAGTCCACAGTGGGGTGGATGTATGGAAGCTTTGAAATTTTCATTTTGTTTTGCTGTCACCCTTCTCGTTTTTCCTTTTTTTCTGGGGAGTGTTTGGGTGGTTTTAATTCAGGGTCTGGTTTCTTGTTTGACTAGCTTTATTTTATTTTATTTTATTTTATTTTTAAACCCGGAAAGGTGAGATGAAAATCTCAACGTTTTTGTGTTGTAGACTCATAGAGTCATAGTGTATTTGGTATCAGTTCATGATAGTAAATAGTAATAAGCTCTAAAATTTCTCATTTGTTTTCTTGCTATCTGATAATTTTATGTTATTATGGGTGAAATGTGAATATGGACTCTATTGTACTTTGAGAGAGGATTGATGAGGCTTTTTTCCATCTTTGGGTTATTTGTGAGTGGGGATTTTTTCATGTTGTCTGTATCTGGTAGTCAAAATTTATCATTCAGCTGTTTCCCTGTCTTCTTGTGCTTACTTGGTTTAACTGAAGTGGTGAAAGGGTAGCACATTGACCTATTAGAACTTTGTAACTTAATATCATGTTATCTACACAGTTTGCGGGGTAAAGTACTCTTGATGTGCAGATTTTTTCTGTAATGATCCAGGAGGTGTGTGTTATAGGCCGGGATATCTAGGATCGCGTCACAGGCTTAGAAACTTAGGAAAAAATGAAGCTTTTCTGGAGTGCTTCTTCTCCCAAATAGAAGCTTTTCTGGAGTGCTTCTCCTCCCCAATCTTTCATTTAATAGAAAGCCAAATGATTATAAATTTCCAAGATCCTTTTTTCTTGTCTTTCTTGTTGTTTTTACAGTTCCTTTTACTAATACTCCACTTTATTTGAATATGTTGCCTTTTGAGATTACATAAGTCTTATTCAGTTCAATTTTTCTTCGTTGCTCCACGGGTGACCTGATATTGATGAATTAGGGTCTTGGGTAAAAGCTCATAATTGACAGAGGAGAGGACGTAATTCTGTTCTTCAACCAACATGACAACTGAAATTCCTATGAGGATACTGGAAAGTGGTAGACCACCTGGGGAATGGTTTTCTTCCAAGGATGTTATTCTGCCACATGCAAACTCGATAAATGACATGACAGTAGATAAGTTGGGGTTGCTTTTAGAAGGGCATACAATTCAAGGTGATAATGGAGGCAAGGTTCCAAATCGCTGTGGAAGTGCACCTCCAAGTATGGAAGGCTCGTTTCTGGCCTTTCAGAACCTGATATGTCAGAAAAGGGGAGGTCGGAATGTAGGCTCTGGGAGCTTTGACAGTGCTCTGCTAAACTGCCAGTCCCTTGAACAAATTCATGCTGACCCATCCTCTTTTGCATACCATTGCTCAAATGCCAACCTGAATCCTAGGTTTCATCCTCCTATAATCTCGAGGGAGAACAGACATCTTGTGAACCATATAGGGGCTCAGCCTGATAATTACAAATTCAGTTCTTCTGATGATAGTGGTGATGGATCATTGCACTTGCATAGAAGCTCTCTTTCAACTCATACTGAAGAGCCGGAAGATGATAATTCACCTTCGAATGCTGCAGATAATTGGGCACAAAATATTACTGCAGAACTGCCTGTACATAAACTAGGTAATTTGGCAGGTCAAGACAAAAGCTTGGCTGATATAACTCAGGTATTGAATGTGGTTATGTTTTTGAGCCTTTATATTTTGTTTTAAGCTCCTTTCCATGCTAGTAATTTCTGCGTGAATTACATTTTATCTTCTAATAACTTCACCTGGCTATTGTTTGATATATTCCTTATTAGTTAGTTCTCTTGAACTTCATCTACATAAACTCTACTGTTATGATTAATCCTCCAATTCTTCACAAATGAACTGACTTTAAAAGTGGAGTAGATCAAGGCTGTCTAAAATTATTATTCTTTTATTCTCATCCTAACTAGAGAATATTTATTTTGATTGAAATTAGTATACAAATCTAAAGTGTTGCAAGACATTTGGAGAATTGAAGCATGTGCTCCATCTCAACTAAAAGCCTAAGCTGATAGTTAGATTGCACATTATACGCCCCCTCACGTGTGGGGGGCCGACATTAGGCATGACTCTGATACCAAATTAAAGCATGTGCTCCATCTCAACTCAAAGCCTAAGCTGATAGTTAGATTGCACATTAATGGTTATATGCTCAACATGGAGAACCTGTGTTTTAATAACTTTGGATGAGAAGTTTACTAATTTAGTAAATTTTATTTTTGTTCTCTCTTTCCTCTTTTCCCAGTTGAGCATATAATTTTTTTTTTTTTAAAATTACATTTTTAAGTAGAGGGAAGCCCCCATCCACCCAACCTGTCTTTTATTTTCGTTTGGCTGGAGTTTCCCCCCCTTTTGGTACTCGTGTATTTGTTGTGTTTGTTACTCAGTCTATAGTATCTTAAGAAGTTTCTCCATGTTGACTGGTGCTTTCTGTTCATTGAGTTAATTCACAGGGAGGTTTCCCACACACTCCATCACCAGTCTTTAGCCAATCTCCTTCCTCAAACCTAGTTGCAGTGGACAAACCAACTGTATGTGATATTGAAAACGATCTTTCTATTGGTATTTCTGAGTTGCCCGAGACAGGTTCAGACGCTTGCACTGAAGGCTCAGTCGGGCATGGTGAATCTTCGGCTAATGATGTGTCACCTGTCCCTTCTGAAGAGATTTCTTATGTAGATGTGTTAGGGACACCATATACCCAACTTAAAAATGAAGAAGCAAGTAGTAGCCCATTCTTGGGAGGTGAACTTACAGAAGGAAGCACAGTAGCAGATGTTTACAAGAAACACGCAATGGTGGAGAGAGAGAAAATTAAGGACAGTGAAAGTTCCAATGAAAAAAATGTACCAGAGTCGCACCATTCTTATTCGTGGCAGAACACAGCTTACCATGTTACTGGCCCACAAGTTCAAATACCCGGTCATGGTCATCCTAGGTTCTCCTCGGTTGAGGTACCAGTAGTACAACAAACTTCTGGACTGGTACCTCCTTTATATGCAACGGCTGCTGCTTATATGGCTTCAGTAAACCAATTTTATTCTAGTGTGAACTCATTTGGCGTATATTCTCCTCAATACAACATGGGGGGCTATGCAGCTGGTTCTGAATTTCTTCCAGCCTATGCCACTGGATATCCATCTCATAGTGGTCTGCCTGGGCAAATCATTAGTGATCAATCTACTGGTCTTTCGACTAAGGAAAGCATTCCACACGTAGGGGATTTCCAGCAAATAAACAAGCTTTATGGTCACCAGGGATTAATGTTGCATCCTTTTCTTGATCCTTTCCAAATCCCGTACTTCCAGCATTCTGTTGAGGATGCATTCCATCTTTCTGGGCAATATGTTAATTTTGCATCAACAAGTGTGGTTGGAAGCCAAGTCAATTCGTACACTTTACAGAAAGACCCCACTCTTCCTTACCACTTTGGTGATCAGAATTTTCAGCCTACTCCTAGTGCAAATTTGTCGGTACCAACTCCAAGGAAAAGGGAAGCACCTAAAAATAGTTACTATGGAAGTCCCACTAGTCCTGGGGTTGTGCCACAGTTTCCAGTACCCCCTCTGGGCAGTCCCATTTTGCCAGGATCCCCAGTTGGAGGGGCAAATCCTTTTGGATGGAGGAATGAAACAAGATTCTCTCAGGGTTCCGGTAGAAACCTTGGTGTTTACTCTGGATGGCAAGGACAAAGAGGATCTGATGGAGTCAATGATCCTAAAAAGTATTTTCTTGAAGATCTAAAAGCAGGCAACAGTAGGAAAATTTGTCTCTCTGATATTGCGGGTCGAATTGGCGAGTTTAGGTAATTATCTATGCTACAAATATTTGCCTTTGAACTCTGATTATTTTATACCATTTCAAGCCATCCAGATTATCTTTAATGCTTATTCATCCTCAGTGTTGATCAGCATGGGAGCCGATTCATACAGCAGAAGTTGTTAAACTGTAGTATTGAAGATAAGGTATCTGTTTTCAAAGAAGTTCTTCCACTTGCTTCAAAGCTGATCACTGATGTTTTTGGGAACTACGTTATTCAGAAGGTGCATATTTAATTCTTGAGTGCAATATTCCAAGTCTTTTTATTAGCACATACACCTGTTTGACACATGCAATTGTGCATAATGTTTTAGTTCTTTGAATATGGGACTCACGAGCAAAGGAAGGAGCTGGCTAGTCAGTTATCTGGGCAGATATTACCTTTAAGTTTGCAAATGTATGGTTGCCGTGTTATCCAAAAGGTATTACTTGTATTAAGTTTTCCCCAATTGGTCTATGGATTCCCACAGATATGTATCTGACACTTCATATCAACCGTTCTATGTGTATTTTGTGATAGATAGAATTTTCTTGCCAATGACAAAGCATGTGCTCCATCTCAACTAAAAGCCTAAGCTGATAGTTGGATTGCACATTTATGTTTATGATACTTTTTGATGGGCTCCAAGCTTGACGTGGACCGTGAACCCATGACCTTTGGCATGGCTCTGATACCAAATTGAAGCATGTGCTCCATCTCAACTAAAAGCCTAAGCTGATAATTGGATTGCACATTTATGTTTATGTTATATTATATGCTCAACAGGAATGACAGAGAAGTACTTCCCATTAGCATGCTTGGGTTTTCATTTCAGTGAAATAAACCCCGTTGTGGTACATTAATCCATTTGACCATCTCTTAGGGTCTTACTCAACGTTTTTTTAAGTTCTGAAATCATATAATATTGATTCCTAGAGAAACTCTGCTTAATTTTCTATGAAAATAGAAATTGCATTCCACTTATGAATTATGATACTACTACAATGTTCGCTGTAGGCCCTTGAAGTTATTGATCTTGACCAGAAAACAGAACTTGTGCATGAACTCGACGGGCATGTAATGAAATGTGTACGGGACCAGAATGGAAATCACGTAATACAAAAATGCATCGAATGTGTCCCAACAGAAAAAATTGGTTTTATTTTATCTTCTTTCCAAGGCCAAGTTGCTATGCTGTCTACCCATCCCTATGGTTGTCGTGTGATCCAGGTAGTCTTGTGCAACTTTTCAAATATAAGCACCAGTCACGACTCACGAATCCTATTTTGCATGCTATTGACTAATCTCGTTTGTATTTACTTCACAGAGAGTTTTAGAGCATTGTTCAAATGACTCGCAAAGTCAATGTATAGTGGATGAAATCTTGGAATCAGCGTATGTTCTTGCTCAGGATCAGTATGGAAACTATGTCACCCAGGTGTGTTTATTTTAAGATCGCATCTAACAGTAAGTTTTTTCAGCTCACTAAATTTTATGGAGAGAAATTACTAGATGGAGAGATTTTGAAGAGGGTTTGAGTGTTAACTAACAGGCTCTGATACCATATTATAAACTAAGTGGGCTATAATGCACATGGCCAAACCCCACTCTAAAAATAAAAAATAAAAAAAAAAATTAATTCCAACCAATTAACTAGTCTAACCCATGTTCTTATAAACCCATACATTCTCTCTTATTTTATCATGTGGGACTCTTAACAGAATTGAATGCACACTTGCAGCATGTTTTGCTAAGGGCACGACCACGTGAAAGGCTTCAGATTATTAACAAGCTGGCCGGGAAAGTTGTACAGTTGAGTCAGCATAAATATGCTTCCAACGTTGTTGAGAAGTGTTTGGAACATGGCGATTCTGCTGAACGCGAGCTCTTGATTGAGGAGATTCTTGCTCAATCTGAGGGAAACGACAGTTTGCTGGTAAGGACACTTTTTAGCTCTTTCCTTCATTGTTCTCCCTCGAGTGCATGAATTGTGATTACATCTCGACGTGCCTTTTGACGAGTGTTACATTGTCTGGCGGCTCTCCTTGTTTAGACTATGATGAAGGATCAGTTTGCAAACTACGTGGTTCAGAAGATTCTCGAAATCAGCAACGATAAACAACGAGCAACGTTGCTGAATCGTATCAAGGTTCATCTTCAAGCTCTGAGGAAATACACCTATGGTAAACACATAGTGGCGAGATTCGAACAGCTTTCTGGGGAAGGTTTGTTAACTCGTATCGATCTGGTTCTTTATTTTCCTTTTTCCACACAATAAGTAAATAAATAAAGAAAAATGACATATTTGGTCCCTGAGTTGTACTCTATGTATAAACTCAATCTCTCTGTAGTTATGGTCCTTTTTCATTAATATTTTGCTACATTTGGACAGAAAATCGATTATTAAAAAAAAATTGGTAGGGGTATTCCTCTTTTCCTCATTATATGAGATAGATGTTTCTCTTCTAGTTAGTTTATTTGACAACTTCAAGATCCTATATAGGACTCGTACCTTTGTTTTCCACTAGGTTAAAGCTTGAAGTTTGTCAATAAACTTAGTAGAACACTAGGAACGACTTTTTTTTTTTGGTGTACCCAGAGTTTCCACCGTTGAACACAGTGACTAATCCCGTCACTGAATTGTCGGCACCTATTTTGGGTGGGACAGCTGGCCTGAAGACTGGGAACGACTTTGTTTCTTGATGAAATCAAATTTTCATGTTTACTACTACCATTTAAGCTTTTTTTATTGATCTTTTGTCCAAATGCAATTGAATATTAACGAAAAGAGCAATAACTCAGGGACTAAATATAGTATTTTCCCATAAATGAATAAGCTGTAAATTTTATCGTGCAATTTGGTTTTATGATCACGTTTCGCGTGTATTCTTATCAGCCAATGGTTAAAGTTTTTGAACATCTATGGTGCAGAAACAGAAGCTGAATGAGCCTTAGATTATGGGATTCTTGAAGCCTTTCAAGAAGCTATGTTGAAAGGAATGGCTTAATTGATCTGCAGAAGTAGTTTGGGTTCTCAATTACTAGTTTCCCAGTGTAGAACTTGTTATGTTTGTGCATACATACATACATAGAAATAATTAAGAGACTGTCATATAGGTAAAACGTTAACAGAACAATATGGTTGCATTAGTTGCATGTTTTATTTCCTCCCTACATTTTACACATTTAAGTATAATTTTTGAGTAATTTTCTAAAGGAACAATAGCCAAGCAATATTACATGCCTTCTTCATTTTTGGTTTGTCCTAGATTGGTGTGGTGTTGTCATGTTTTATTTAATTATTTTGTAATGTTTTCACTGTATTTAAAAAAAAAAATAATAGTACAGATTGTCAGACAATAGCTCGTGTTCCCACGGAGAACACCGTGTTTCTATCTTATGTTGACATTGTTTTAGATGATTGTGACAGGCTGTTAGTGCAATCACGTCTTATTCTGTTAGATTTATTAATAGATCAGTGAACCAAGTCGCTCACACTTTGTCGAAAGCTTTCGATGTTCTATTAGCTACATGTACAGAAATTATCAACTATAGATACAGAATCTGACTTGATAATTGCTTAACAGAATGTGTCAACTATAGATACAGAATCTGAAGATTATTTTTGGACCAAGGTCTACAATGCAAGGTAGACCCTAGTCCATGGTATAATTTGCCCATATTGTTAGCACACCGCAGATAATCATCCATCCAAATATGTCGAACACCTTACCTTTGAGGGTTGATCAAAATTCTTCAGCCCCCTCATTTTGAGAGGTTGCTCCTACATTGCTGCTGGTGAGACCCGATACCTGGTCATTCTTTTATACTTTCACCTCTATGACCAGTTGAGCTGCCCATGCGGGCAAAAGAATTCTTCAAATCATGTGCTAGACCAATAGATGCCAAAATTAGATAATTAGTTGCTTTATTCTGCTCTCAAAAGACATGTTTCACTTGAACTCAACATGGCCTTCCAAACATCCTCTAGCACTAAAGTAAGACTTGTCAAGTTGTCCTGGGCCCCAGGCAGTGAACCTCATGTCAACCAATTGATAACCATCTTTGCACCACACTCATCATATATTTAAATATTAATGTGCATTATTAACTTTTTTTTTTTTTTGAAAGGTGTGCATTATTAACTTAAACGTTTAGTTGAGACAAAACATATCTTTCAATTTGGGATCAAAGTTTACTTCATACACAAATTAAAATCATAAATTCAAATCTCTACGTCTCATAAAAAATCCTCACCACCTTGCACCCTTAATTTGATTTGTTCTATCACTCCACTCATTCGTATTTAGTTATTTACTTTAACCCAACCAATTTGGGATGTGTTCCATTCAAGAAACCTTGTTTTCACTTTGTGTCAAAAATTACAATAAGACCACTTCAAAAATATTATTTAAAAGGGAAATTTAATTGTAATCTTATAATTACTATGATATTATTACATTTAGTTTTTATTCTTTAAATTAATCATAGTTAATCTCACGACATTGCTAGTATTGTTACAATTTTCATTCAATTGATATTAATCGTTGAGACAATATGATAATTTTACGATATTAACAATGTTTTTTTTTTACTAAAAAAACATTTATAAACAACATAACATAGAAAAAATCATTTTTCATGAAAATGTTGATTAAATTGTCTTTTATAGACACTTTTCGCTAGGAAGAGGGTGTTAAACTTGTAAAATTATCTAATTATCTCAAAAAGTGTAATAAAAAATTAAATGTAAATATTTTTCAGTGACTAGTTATCATCAAATTATAAATTGAGGATTAAATATAACAATACTTCAATAAGATTAAGAATAGATTTTTCGCAATTTAAAAATTTACAAACTAAATAAATGTTAGAACCCAGGTCAAAAATGCTTATAGACATATCATTGGTAATTATGATTAGGACCCAGGTGCTTTTGATAAATGGGTAACAGTTTGGAAATTAAAGGTTCCACCTAAATGGAAAATTTTCCTATGGAGAGCTCTATGTGATATTCTCCCCACCACTAGCAACTTGATTTTAAAGAGGGTAGATGTGAACCCAACATGTTTAATGTGTGATTTACAACATGAAGATATTATGCATTCTCTGGTTCTCTGTGAATACTCTAGACTTGTGTGGAATGTTACGGAACCGCCTGTCACAAATATTTTGTCTAATTCATTTCCTGAATGGCTCATGGGTGCACTGAATATTTTGACAAAGGAGCAACGCGGTCAATTGGTGGCCGTACTTTACCACCTATGGAGTGCCCGAAACACTGCAGTGTGGGAGGGTACGTCACTGCGCCCCGGACAAGTCTGGCAACGAGCCGCTACCACCATGCACAGCTCCACCGGCGTCTCCCTCGGCTGTCGACAGCAAAAGCAACTACACGCACGGAACAGACTCGGCTGAAATGCTACATAGACACGGGATTCCGGGCGTCCACCGGAGAAGCCACCTACGGCGCTGTTCTTCTCTCGCAAATCGGAACATTCCAGGCCGCCACGAATGGACAACTGCCGGGATGTTTTTCACCACTCATGGCCGAAGCGCTTGCATGTAAGGAAACTTTATCTTGGCTCAAGGAACGTAACGTGTTGGACGTGGATCTTTTAACAGACTGCTCAGAACTACGGAGTTTTTTACTCTCGGTTCCCACGACTATTCGGTCTTACGTTGGTGTCATTGTGGACCAATGTAGGGAGTCTTTATCTTTATTTAATCATTGTTCAGTTAATGTTATTTCTAGATCGGTTAATTTACATGCTAGCTTCGGTAGCTTTCGATCGGTTAATTTATCTTTATTCACTCTATTGCTCTATTCATTCATTAATATATGGCTGTCTTATTTTCAAAAATAAATGTTAGAAAATAATAATGGCTAGATTAAAAAATAATTTACTTTTAACATGCTTTTAACCACTTTTTAAAGAAGTTAATCATACTTAGGAGCAACCATTAAAATATGTGTAAATTAAATCTATATATATATAAAAGTAAAATCCTCCTAGCCAAGTTTTCTCCCCAAAACTTAAGGTCATTTAAGTAATATCAATATATTAATTAATTATGGAAAGAATATTATGGTAATATAAACTAATTAATTATGAAATATTCCTATAATATTGATTATGAAATGTTCTTCACCAACGTTCGTTGCTCACTAATTAATTATACCTATCATACTGCATAGTGCATATATTATATATAACTATGCATATGTTATATATTATTATATATAAAATTACGATTATAAATATGTATGGAATATTCCGTCAGAATAACAAACATTATGGTAATATAATTATGGAAATTATATATTATTGTAGTCCTTTTAATTGTCTATATATATATATAAAAGTATAAAATCCTCCTAGCTAAGTTTTCCCCCAAAACTTAGAGGCATTTTTGTAATATCAAATCTATATCTATATATATATAAAAGTAAAATCCTCCTAGCCAAGTTTTCCCCCCAAAACTTAAGGTCATTTAAGTAATATCAATATATTAATTAATTATGGAAAGAATATTATGGTAATATAAACTAATTAATTATGAAATATTCCTATAATATTGATTATGAAATGTTCTTCACCAACGTTCGTTGCTCACTAATTAATTATACCTATCATACTGCATAGTGCATATATTATATATAACTATGCATATATTATATATTATTATATATAAAATTACGATTATAAATATGTATGGAATATTCCGTCAGAATAACAAACATTATGGTAATATAATTATGGAAATTATATATTATTGTAGTCCTTTTAATTGTCTATATATATATAAAAGTATAAAATCCTCCTAGCTAAGTTTTCCCCCAAAACTTAGAGGCATTTTTGTAATATCAAATATTTAGACAAATATGGCATTTTAATAATATTAAAGATTTTACCTTTCTTGAGATCTCTTACCATTTTATAATTTTAATACTAAACCCTTTTGATCTCATCCATTGTGTATAAATACACCTTATATGACCATACACAACCCCAACTAAGGTTAATTATTTTATTGATTTTTGCTAATCATCCTGTGATCTTCCACAGTTGAGGTTGATACGTGATTTGCACTGGTGAGGTTTTCATTATCTTAGTTTCTTTAATTTTTTTTTTCTTTTTGGGTTTTGTTTTGTTTTTATTCTTTTGTATTTTCTGATTTTTAAACAACAAAAGTGGTTCGTAAGAAAAAATGTTGATATATTCTTTTCTTTTTTTTTGTCTATTTTTGTAGAGAAGATACGGATCTAGAAAGATTGATCGGGAAGCAATAGACTTCTAATCATCCTGTGATCTTCCACAGTTGAGGTTGATACATGATTTGCACTGGTGAGGTTTTCATTATCTTAGTTTTTTTTTTTTTTTTTTCTTTTTGGGTTTTGTTTTGTTTTTATTTTTTTGTATTTTTTGATTTTTAAACAACAAAAGTGATTCGTAAGAAAAAATGTTGATATATTCTTTTTTTTTGGTCTATTTTTGTGGAGAAGATACTATACGGATCTAGAAAGATTGACCGGGAAGCAATAGACTTCTAATCATCATGTGATCTTCCACAGTTGAGGTTGATACGTGATTTACATTGGTGAGGTTTTCATCATCTTAGTTTCTTTTATTTTTTTTTCTTTTTGGGTTTTGTTTTGTTTTTATTTTTTTTGTATTTTATGGTTTTTAAACAACAAAAGTGGTTCATAAGAAAAAATGTTGATATATATTTTTTTTTGTCTTTTTTTTTTTTTTTTTTTTTTGTGGAGAAGGTACAGATCTAGAAAGATTGATCGGGAAGCAAAAGAGTTCCTTGCTCATCAAGATGATAATGTTTTGTGATCGAGGGACGAATTATGTGTATATATAAATATATATAGACTTATAGAGGGAACCATACTAAGAATACAATAAAAACCAAAATGAAATTAAAAGCATTTTTTAGTTGTCAATATATCAAAGCATTGGACTTTGTTTCGATTCAATTTCTCCGTTTTTAAAGTGTACATTTTTTGTAATAAGAGAGTAGTTTGTCTTTCCCCTCAAGACGTTTTTCTTGCCATTTAATTTTATTTTTTTTTAGGAAAAAAATGATTAAGTACTGTGGCTTTTTTTTCAATAGAGTATTATTTTGATTTTATTCTTCATTTGACATTCCTTGATATAAAATCACTTTACTAATGTAAAATAATGTTATTGACTTACCATGTTTGCTTCGATATGCTAAGCCATTTAAAATTTAATACGGAG